GTAACAAGCAACCTCAGGAAGGTGTGTGTCCCCGGTTCTTACCGACTTCCCATTGGTGGCCCAGGGGTGACTTAAAGATATGTAACAAGCAACCTCAGGAAGGTGTGTGTCCCCGGTTCTTACCGACTTCCCATTGGTGGCCCAGGGGTGACTTAAAGATACATAACGAACAACCTCATGCTTACACCTGGGCTTCAGAGTTTCTGTTTTCAAATGAATATATCTTTTTATTAAATACATTCCTATTTTCTTTTAAAAGTTGTAATAGACGATGGTGTTTTGAAATACGGGCAGCAAGTGTCGAAACTACATGATGAGATTAACGAATTAGGAACTTAGGTTTATAATTTCAAAACATTCTTCAGTCTGCTTTTCTGAATTATCAATTCTAAGGTTTCGACTGAGGTTTAAAACATGTGTGTGTGTCTGTGTGTGTGTCTCTGTGTGTGTGCCCAAATACACATATAAACACAGTTTCCACACATTTTCTACCATGTCTGGGCCCAGAGCTCTCCTTGGAGGTAGTGCCTGGTTGGTTACTAGGTCATGTGACCTTGATAGCCTGTGATATTTTCCCTGCTATGTTGCTTCCTTGCACATATTTTGGTTTATGTTTATCTTATTTTTTGTCATGTTGAAAGCCTTTTGACTCCATTTATCTCTCTCATTATTTACGTATAGGAAAGCCCACACCAGAAGGTGTTTTGTTTTCCTAAAAGCCCTGCACGTCATGTATCACATGTAAATATATTTGAGAAACAGGCTTGGTTCCAAAAACTTCCACCATAATAACATGTAACATAAAACCATCCTAACTGAACCCAATAAAGTCTCTGCAGATCAGGTTCAAAGAAACACATTTTCTAAATATATTCAGTTCAGTTGCATGAGAATCTGTCATATTTCCTCTTGTGAGACAGATAGAAGATACTGCAAGTTTTTGTTTTAGCGTAAAAATATTTAAAATCGCAGTGTTGATTTTTATGCAGTCATGTCTTTTTGAATATGCTTAAAAATTTGCGCATGTTCTGAATGACAGATTTTGACCAGGAAAAGTTACTTTTCTACAAGTATTTCTACCTTCACAAAGATGACATGGCCCGTGGAGAAGTGGAGAGTAGGGTTCTTGCATTCTACCTGTGTTTGATCATGAACTCTGATAGTTTCACTCCTGCCACAGGCTGTCATCATCCGGCATTTTAATTTAAGATGATTATTATTTATTAACAGTAGTTTAGACTTGTAGACGTACGTTATGGTTATATTGCCACTACCCTTGGGTCCCCTATCGGCATTCCTTTCTCGAATTCAACTTTTGTTTTGTACTAGAGAGCAACCTGTAGAAATTCTTTCTGAAAGGTCTCCATACACTAAAGTTTCTTTTTCTTCATACGTCAAAAAAGTGTGCTCAGTTTGTTGTCACCCCTGAATTCTTACTTTCCAGCTTCTGGTCTCACTAGGGAGGGATGGAGGTGACCATCCCAGTAAGTAGATGACCCTTCTAGGAACGGGGCCTAATGTGGTTCCATGTGCATTGTGTGTAGTGCTGATTACTAAACTATTTCTATCTGGGCATAGTGTGGGTTTTCAATGTTGACATCGATATCTAATGTAACCTCTAAGAATGAAAAGATTGGAATAGTGACATTTCTGGCTCAATTAAAAAAAAGAAAAAAACTTTTTTTTTTAACTCTTGAAAACACTGATGGTTTCTCCCAACTCTGAGATCTGAATCTAGGAAGTAGTCTCTTTCAACCTAATGAGTCTTAAACCTAGCCCGCTTCTTCATGGTTTCTAAGAATGTTTTGCCAGTCCAATCTAGATGTGTATAAGAGTGTTCTGCCAATACAAACATCTCTAGGTTTTTACTCCTTTCTATTGGCAGTAGCTTATTTTTTTAAGGCTCCTTAGATAGTCTCATGTTCAGATTTTCTATTGTGTATCTTTTCTCTATCCTTCCTTGGTGTGTCTAATTTTGTCCGTATTTGCATTTTGTTTCTATCTTTTACTTTCTGTATTCTAGCACTGAAGATGAAACACACGCTCAGGGCTTGACCTCAGTAGTAACCAAAGAAGTGGCGTCTTTAAGAAATGTCAGCTTGATTACAAGAAGAAAGGTAAGTGCTCGTCCATCATGGCCCAGGAAAGCTGACAGAATGGAAAAGAGAAGAACTGATATTCACAATGAAGTTGCTGAGTTATGCCAGTTTCTCTGGCTCTCAGCCAACTAAAAGTCTTTCCCTAAGAAGTCAGCCCTACTCTGGGGGAGGTAGGGACAACTATCAAGGGTGGTGGTAAGTACGACCATGAGATTGTTTGTGTGAGTCTCTAACATCATTTCCAAACTTCATGAACAATTATATATTTTAACAAGAAGAATTTTCTATTTACTATTCAAAACAATAATAGTCTAGAGTATCTCCTAATGTTTGCATGAATTAGATTTTGATGTTAATATAAAATTGGAAGTGAAAACCTATTTTTATGATCTTGTAGAAAATGCTAGGGGAGATGGAACCATTTGATAAACTGGATTCGTCGGCTTTACTTCAGCTGGAGTCGGCTCTGGACCTGGAGAGATCATGCAGACAGGAGTTCCCAGAGGGACCTCAGGGGGCATTTCACTGGTAAGGCCAAGTGATACCGTGAAAAGACAATGATTTTCTGGTCATGGCAATGCATGACCGTAGTTCCAGCTAGTTGAGAGGATTCTCTTGAGGACACAAGTTTGAGACCAGCCTGGACAACAGAGTGTGTCTCTGTTTCTACAAACCAGAAACAAACAGAAAACAGTTTGTAAGCTAGCCACAAAGGTAGCTTAGGGAGGGATGAGGGTCTCCATTCCAGTAAGTAGATGATCCTCCTGGGAACCGGGCCTAATGTGGTTCCCAAAGCACAAAGCCCCCTCTTCAAGGTTACACATTCAATCTACCTAAAAATTAGATTTTTGTCTTCAAGATGACAAGTCATAATAATTTGAAAGTGTTTAATTCAGTGCTTTTAACGTGTCTTCTTTTGCAATATGTTAACTTCTGGGATTCTGATATCTCCACCAAATGGTATTGATGATACTGAATAATACAAAAACAGAGGCACCTAAGAGTCAAGCCTCTATTGTTTCTTCCTTCTTACTTGAAAAGGTCTCTGAGTCAGAAGCACCCCAAATCCTCTTGTGTGTGTACAAATGTATTTTGAAATGCAAATGGAATGAAGTCGGGAAAATCCTGTGACCTCTTTTTCAGAGACTTTTAAATTCTGAAGAGTCTAATGGTGTAACATGTTTCCGATTTCAGCTTATAATCCACATTGCACATCTTCAAGGGTGTCTTTTTCAAAAGGTGCCTCTTCCCACTCCGTTTGCTGGATGGTGGCGAATTTCCTTTTCTTCTCACAACAACAGTAGGGCCAGTTAAATTCTACCAGTGTGAGTGCTAATAAAATAGTTATGCCAGTAGTGGATAAACATGGCTAATGGATATATCAGAAGACGGGAGATGGTGTGACGTGGGAGGATAAAAGGGAAAACGTAAAATTCACAGCAGAGTAAAAATACAAATGTAACATTAATTTTGTACATAGATGTGCTCTCAAAGTCATGTAGTGAGAGAAAAAGAGAATTTTAATATTTATTTTTTAGTTTTCTGCGGACACAACATCTTTGTATGTGGTGCTGAGGATCGAACCCGGGCCACACGCGTGCCAGGCGAGCGCGCTACCACTTGAGCCACATCCCCAGCCCCCAGAAAAAGAAATATGACTCCAAGGGCCAGGTTTTGTGTCTAAAGCCTTATTCACTTAACTGTGTTAGACAGTAACACTCGGGTGAACTTCAGTGCAGAATGTTGAATCACTCAAGACCAGGAGCTTACGTGTTCCAACGATCCATTATAAGACTGTACACTTCATTTAATGTGAAGCGGGAAAGACATTTCTCAGGATGTGGTTGGTACAGGATGGATAGCTACCAGATGGCATTGTGTGGCCTTTGAAGATAAAAACATGCCCGTTCATCTTATGCTCAGGGCGCGTCGTTCACACAAAGCAGATCTGTGAGTCAAGTGGAATAAGGCGCATAGATTCATTTATTGGCCCAAGGTTTTGGTTCCCTGTGAAACAAAACCCAAGGTGATTTTAACCAATCTCCTTTATTTGGAATGTCATTTTAGATATGAAATTCAACTTAGCTGAGGATTCTAACCACAAAAGCCCTACATTCCTGTTCTTTGGGATCCAACTATAGGTTAATCACAGGCACTGGGCACCTAATGATGTCTTCTGTTCTTTTTGCCTCTTTTAGTAAAAGGAAAGCTAAAGTGAAGAGACACCAGTCTGACTTGCGGTTAGAAATCGAACGTCTGAAAAAGGGTGAGGAACTGGGATCTCCAGGCGGGGTGCGTGGGGTGGGTTGTTGTGTAGACAGGGTGCTAGGGCATTCCATTTCCATGGGCATCTTTTGGGCAGGTGTGAGAATGACCCTCACTAGCTGGCTTATGTGTGTGTGTCCTTATTTAATAAAATGTTCAAGGAGACATTTTGTTTGCTTTTAAATAATCGAGAGAGCTTTTTATGATAGCAAAAGCAAGATATTTTGCTTTGAGTGGAACTACCCTTATTTAATACCATGAAATATTTTGTAGAAACACATTTTTTTTTTTTTGCCATTGATAAAGTTTTCAAATTTATCCCAGTCCTAGCACTTCCCAGTTTTGGAAGGCTGCCACATGTCACAGCACAGGACAAAACCATCGTAGAGATATGGGAGGTTTGCTCCTGTTCAAACTGGGGCTGTTTCTGAATAATGAATTAGCTGGTAGGACTTGCATTCCATGCTCTGATGGCACACACTGGACTAGATCAGAGGGGGTGGCCCTCCCTTGGCTGGTGCATATTGTGGAGGACGGGGAAGACCCCTAAAGAACTCAGGAAACCCTGGAAAGCAGCATCTGTCCCTTGAATATTTGTGAGTTGACTCTTGCATGGAAGTTAGGAGAAACACTTAAAAAGCACTCTAGTTACCCCTGAAAGATGAAAACCAGCACACACAGGCTCCACTTTAAGAGTGGTCTAGAGAGTACTGAATGCAGGACAGGGTCCATGAGTAGCACTGAGGACGCTCTGCCCCCTGGGAAGGTGCCCCAACAACATGGCCCTGGCTAGAGCTTTGCTTCTGGGGATCACCCGGGAATGGGCCGCTCTGAGTCCAGAGCATTGACTGACGCTTGACATGTTCAAAAGGAACCCGACGGAGAAAGACTATCTGTGACCATGGTGTTTTGTGAAGTCCACCTCTAGACCTAGTGTTTTTCCTTCTTATCATGATTTTCTCTTTGCACACCACAGTGCATTAGCACACTTCTGCAGTGTCCTGTGCCACCCTGCTTTATTTAATCAGTAAACGATGTTAGTGATTGTTAGTGATTCTCGTCTGAGTATGCATCTCCTGGCATTGTCAATGGTGTCAAGAGGGGGTGGCCTTAGAGAACGTAAATGTGTGCCTTTCAACTCTGTAATATTTAAATCAAATTATAGTCATAAGGTCAATTTGAATACCATGCATATACAGTTAGATGATAGAGGATGACATTAAAGGAAATTCCTCTGAGGGGAAACAAAACCTAGAGTTGGTCTTTTTCCTGCCTCAGTAAATAGTACTTTGATGTTATACAAGTTTTAAGTATAATTAACTATATTTGTTTTATGACTGTGTGTTCTTATCACGAATAACTCTGTTAAGAAGTGTCATAGCTGCAATCCCAGTAGCTCAGGAGGCTGAGGCAGGAGGATTGTAAGTTGAAAGCCAGCCTCAGCAACTTAGCAAGGCACCAAGCAACTCAGTGAGACTCTGCCTCTAAATAAAATACAAAAAAGGGCTGGGGTTGTGGCTCAGTGGTTTAGTGCCTCCGGGTTCAATCCCTAGTACAAAAAAAAAAGTGTGTCACACTAGAATTTCACACAAAGTAGTCTGACATTTGTAACTGTCTTGGGGAACAACCGGTGTAGAAAAGGGGTACAGGCGGGGTCGATGCTCCGTGGTTGAGGGTGTGAGGCAGGTGTGACCGGGGGTTGCATCCCCAGCACGAGAAAAGTAAACAAACAAAGGAGGAAAGAAAAGAAAAAAGCCACATGTCATACTTCTGAAATCCCTTTGAGTCTCCAAAACTGTTCTAAGTCTTACTTAGTTGTCCTACAATTGGTAAAAACAGTGATTCCACACGTAGGAGTTAAACAAATCATCAAAACTGATGCACTTTATTTATGCATTTTCAGTGCAGTTTACCATGAACTTGGTAAAAGTGGTTGCTTTATTTGACATGCAATCAAATGGTTTTAATGTAAATAATATACGTCAAATATAGAAACATTTGGGTTTAAATATGTCTACGCGACCAATGAGCTTATCTTTGAAAAATGTAGTCTGAGAACAACTTTAAACTAGAATTAAGACTGAAAAAGTCATGGACATGGTTCAGTTTACATTTTCAAGCTTCAAAAACATGTGTGGTTGCCTTCCAGGTGGGGTGCAGCGGGACTCAGGCCCGCCTTCCTGGGCGCTTTCCGATACGACTTGCAATGCCGTGGCTCAGAAAGAGGTGAGTATGTGCTTCTGGGTGTGCTCTACCGCCACTTCTGGAATCACTCTGTTGTTCTCAAAATAGCAGTTTCCCTCTGGCAAATGACTGTTTCCATGTCATTCCATGTTAGAGGCATGAGGACCTGACAAACACACATGAAGGAATCAGGCGTGGGTGTAAATCGGGGCTGAGAGATTATATGATGCTAAAGCATCTGTATTAGAATTTAAATAATGAAGAAAACATTGACATCATGAGACAAACCACACAGACTAGAAAGTGCATAAATGTCCATAACAGTCACGTAAACACAGGAAATATGACTGACCCCTCCAGGTGCCAGCCCACCCCTCTGTGCTGACGGGAACCCTGCCCTCATGCTTTGTGCCATGACTTCCCTCTTCTCCTTCTATTTTCCAGCCTGCGTATGGACCATATGATTTAGTTCTAGATATATGGCATATGTTCTTTTGTATCATCAAAGTTCACTTTGTGAGTTTCCTGCTTTTTGTGATGTGTAGCAACAACGTGTTTGACTGTATTGCAATATAATATTCCATTCTATGGATATTTTACAACCATTTCATCCATTCTGTTGTTGATGAGTCTTTGGATCCGTAATTCAGGAAAATGAACTCGACCAGTGGTTTTAATAGAGATCTCCTAAAACAGAGACTTGGTTAAAAATAGTGGTAAAAAGGTAAAATGAGAATAGCCAGGTAACAGGGAGCACAATTCCCTTCCCTCAAGTATGGGTAGGGCTGTGATGACAGAAATAAATCTCAATAAACTAGTAACTAAACTGACTGACAGTGAAAAAAAAATACCAAAGTGGAAAGAGAATGAAAGATCGTATCAGAATAGATACAAATAAAACGTAAGATGTTCAGTTTGTGAAGAAAACCTGTAAGCCATAATCGAGTAGAAAGAATGCTCTCCTGTTGACTAACCCTTATCTGACAAAGACTGATATTGACATGTAAATATCAAATGAAACTTAAAGCAAAAAACTGTTACTGGAGGTAAGGAAATCCACTCAGTTGTGATAAAAGGTTACTTTTACGTAGAATTCATACTAATTTTAAATATATATGAACTGACTAATATGACAAATATATGAGAATTGACTGAACTACAACAAAACTAGACAAATTCATAAAAGATAAAGGAAGATCTAAAGACACATTTCTCAACAAGTGACAAAAACTATGAATGCAATGATTAAGAAGACTGACCGAGAGGAAAAATATAGAAAGAACATATAACACAGGCTGAACACATTTTCTTCCTAAAACTGCAAAAAATATTCTTTAAAATGATGCTGGGTCACAAACTAAGTCTGCACAAAGGTCAGGGGATTGGTTTCATGGAAAATATGTTCTCTAACTATGGTTAGAGAGCTGAAGTTGAAACAAAGATTTTATACCATATGTTAAGTTCTTATGTGTAAATTAAGAAGTACATTTTAAGTAAACCATCAAAAATCTTATATTTACATAAAGAATACATGTTTTAAGTAAGCTGTCAGCCCATGGTGAAATTCTAATGGAAATTAGATAACAGTCTGAACTGAATAATAACAAAAATACTACATATTTAGCTACATAATGTAGCTAAATCAGTATTTAGAAAAAATATAGCTTTATCTACATAAAAGAGAAAATAAGAAAGCCTGAAAAGTTATGAATTAGACATATATCTTGAGAAGTTGCAAAAACAATAGCAATTTAAATCTCAAAGTGTGGAAGGCAGAAAGGAGTAACGTAAAAGCTGCAATTGATGATGCAGAAAAAGTAAGACAAAATAGAATAAAACAGTGAATTTAATACTTTTGACTTTAGTAGGTGTATGAAGACATGAATTGGTGTGAACATACTTTATATACGAACAGAGATATGAAAAATTGTGTTCTATATGTGTAATAAGAATCGTGATGCATTCTGCTGTCATGTATTTAAAAAATAAAAGCAATTAAAAAATACTTTTGACTTTTAAAAAAATAAACAAAATGATAAAAATATACTGCAAGTTCATTTAAAGAAAAGGATAGAAAGTAAAGGCACATAAAACCAGTATCAAGAATGATAAAAGGAAACATCATAGCTGGGGCAGATAGTTAAAGATAACAACAAAGTATAAACTGAATTTAGGCTATTTTGAAATATGACAGTATCTCATACCAAGATACGTGAAACAGTTTGGGGACAAGCTGTTAGAAAATAGGGCCCAACAAATTCAATTCATGAGAGCAATGTCCAAAACATGAATATTTCTATAACCACTGGAGAAGTTATGGCTGTTGTGCAGTACCTTCTCGCAGATTTAATCCCAGACCCACGCAGTTTCTTTCAAACATACAAGAAGGAATGAGTCGGATCTTAGACAAAATGTTCCAGAAAACAGGAAAGGAGGGAACACTCCCTGGGATGGCTAGTATCTTATGGGTTCACTTGACTGGGCCGCAGGATGCTGGTGTATCTGAGTGAGGTAAACGTGTGAAGAGGTAACATAAAGAAAAGAGGGGGGATGATCCTGGATAGCACAGGAGGTTGACCCTTGTGTGGAGGACAGGGATTCTTGCCTGTCGGCCTGACTCGGTGCATGCATCTCTTCCTGTCTTTGGGCTTGAAACAATGGCTCTTCTTGGTCTGGAGCCACTTGGCTTTCAGTCTGGAAATCATCTCTCCTGAGTCTTCAGCTTGCTGACTGTCGATGCGGGAATTTCTCAGCCTCCATAACTGTGCGAGGAGCCAACTCCTTGTAGTAAATCTCTTTACACACACACACACACACACACACACACACACACACACACACATACACACACATTCCAATAGGTTCTGTTTCTTTGGAAAATCCAAACTAAGATTTTGGTACTAAAAAGTGGGGTGCTACTGTAACAAGTAACTGAAAGTGTCTAACTGGCTTTGGAACGGAGTAACAGGGAGAGAGTCTGGAAGAATGTTGAGGTGCCTGTTAGAATAAGCCAAAATGCCCATCAGGAATATTGGTAGAAAATGGACCTCAGTGGTGATTCTGGTTGAGGGCTCAGAAAGAAAAGGAGAGCTGGAGAGAGAGCATACCTGATATTTCTTAGGGAACACACGCCATGGACAGAATGCTGGTGGAAATATGGATGCCAAGTACCATTCTGTGAGGCTCGGACTCACCAGAAGGGTCAGGTGACTGGGAACTGGAGGAAAGATGATTCTTACATGACGCCAAGAAGGAGACGGAACTGGATTCTAGTGTTTTGTGGGAGGTAGAACTTGGGTCTCTGTTTTACATGTAAAGATGTAATGCGAAGGCACTCATCTGAAAGCCAAAATGAGAGCCATTACCAGAACTCGAACATGCTGGCACCCTGAACTTGAACTTTCTGCCTCCAAAACTGTGAGAATATAAAATTTCCATTGTTTAAGACACATTTTTTTTTGGCATTTTATTAGTGAGGCTCTGTCTTAAAATAAAAAATTTTTAAAAACAGAATTTAAAAAAAGCCTGGGGTTGTAGCTTGTGGTAGAGTGCTTGCTTAGCACGTGTGAGGCCTTGGGTTCAATTCCAAAAACCATACATGCAAACAAAAAAGTAATAATACAATAATAGAGCCTGCTCCGTTTGGTTTTATCCCATAACACAAAGTTTTGCACTAAAAAAATTAATCAGCATAACTTAACAGATTAAAAATTATGTTTAAAAAATTTTAGTTGTAGATGGAAACAATACCTTTATTCTACGTATTTATTTTTATGTGGTGCTGAGGCTCGAACCCAGTGTCCCCATGTGCTAGGTAAGTGCTGTACCTCTGAGTCACAATCCCAGCCCCAAAATAAAAATTATATTTTTAATAAAAGTCTAAAAATGTCAGATACAACTCGATCACATTTTGCAACAGAAAAAAAAAAACAAAAAGAAAATTCCTCATTCCATGTTAGAAAAGAATTGCCTTAATTTGACTTAAAAGATAAACAATGAAATCTGCCATTCTCCTTTTTATGTTTATGAACAAGATAAAGAAGCCTGCTCTGATTTTCAATGCAATATGATAAGGCTCATGTCTGTCCTGTTAGGTTGCTGGGGTGAATTGTCATAGGCGTCTGGAGGCTGAAATCCTAATGTGAAGGTGCCGGCATGGCTGGGTTCTGGGGAGGGCCCTCTTCCTGGTTTGAAGATGGCAGCCCTGTTCACAACTGCTTGCTCACATGGTTGGCATGCAAAAGAGAAAGCAAGGTCCGTGTCTCTCCTTCAGGGGCACAAATCCCAACAGGAAGTCTCTCGTCTCATGACCTACTGACTTCCTAAAGGCCTCATCTCAAAATCCCATCACCTTGAGAATCTAAGGTTTAACATATGAACTTGGGGGGTGACGAAGGGCCTTTTCAGTAACCTATTAGACATAATAAGAATTTAACAAAGTGATTGGATACCGAGTCAATATACAGAAATCTACATACATTTCTATATGCCAACAAGAAACATCAAATAATTACCTTTTATAACAGACACCATTTAAAAGAACATTTAAAAATCTACTATTTATAAATCTCATGATAGCAAGAAGACCTTTGGGAGAAAGATTATAAAATCTTAAAAAAGAGGCATTAAAAAGTTCTGAATTAAAAGACAGTAACATATTCCTAGTTTGAAAGACTCGCTGTTATAGGGATATTAATTTTGCCTTTATATATATATATATATATATATGATAATTTAATCAAGGTAGAAGATTCGATATACTATCTCAAGATTTAATATAATTATTATAAAAATCCTAGTTTTCCCCTTGCAATTTATATGAAAATGTTAAAATCCAAGAAAGTAAAATGCTTTTGAAGAACAATTGACTGAGCTTGCTTTATAAACTTGTCAATACCTATGATAAAACTATAGTAAAAATTTAAAAAAGACGATGCTGTTGGCAAAATTACAAATTATAAACCAATGGGATAGAACAGAGTCCTGAGAAAAATATTTCTTTATGGATACTTATTTGTAAAGCCAGTAATAGTTATTATAAAGCTAGTATTGCAAAGCAGTGAGAAAAATACCAGCAGAAAAATGAAAAGACAAGCCTCACTGTAGAGAAAAGAATTTGCAACACACACAATCAACAAGGCGCTCCCATCCAGAGCACATGAAGAGCCCCAAAAGGAAAAAGGAAAAGAAAAGACACCAGCCTAGTGGGAGAGTGTCCAGGACTTAACAGACCCTTCATAAAAGAAGAAATCCAAACAGCCTCACAAGGTGCCACCACACAGTCACCAAAACGGATCCAATAGAAAGAATGCAAAAGACCAGCAAGGGTGAGACCCAGTAGCAATGGGAACCCTCGTGGACTGTGCTGTACTCCATTCCTAGAAATGCACACCCATATGCCAGGACAAGAACATTCAGAGCAGCTACAACAGGAAAAGACCCAAATGTTCACCAAACTGCAATGAATAAAGAAAGTTGGGTGCATCTGTATAATGCCATATCCTTTAATGATACCCCCTCCCCGCAGATTAACACAGCTCACAGCAACACAGACAAATCTCATAAGCATAATTTTAAAAAAGCCAGGCTCAAAAGAGAACATACCATGAGCAAAACTAAAATGGAGTGTTGATGGATGTATGATTCCTGAGAGAAGATTCTAAACAAACTCAGGAGGTGATCACTGCCCACAAGGTCATCTTGGGGAGGAGGAGGCTGTGACGGACAGGGAGCACCTGCAGGCTCTGAGGTACTGGCACTGTTGTGTATTTTGACCTGGGTGCACTGTTGTGGGTTTTGCCTAACAATAACTAATCGGCATCATGTGCACGACTTACGACCTTTCCTGTATATTTGCTACATTTCACATTAACGAATTGATGAGAGAGAGAGAGAGAAGGGGAGAGAGGGGAGAGGGAGAGAGAGAGGAGAGAGAGAGAGAGAGAGA